GTGTTTCCTCTGAGCAGTAAGGGTTTGACAGGGGCAACAAGACTGAACTTGTGATCAAAACGTCTCTTCTGCATCTTTCTTTAAGTGGCATCTAAAACTGGAGCGCTGCATTGCTCACAAGGAGCATTGCAGCTAAGAAAAGGAGGAAAGTATAAAACTATGTAAAAACTTTGTGTAATGGATCAGCAAATCTGAGGCTGTGTGCAGCAGAAAGCAGACAATCTGTGTGCAAATATTGGTATATTTAAATGCAGATGAAAAGAATTAGGAAATTACCTCTAAGATAGTAATAAACTAATATTTTTCCTCTGAATCACTTCCTTTCCCAAACTGAGACTATAACCATGTGCCCTTTCACAGCTGCCTTGATGAAGGTTATTAACTCCTTGTGTCTGCCAGCAGAACTGTTTGCATGATGTTTTCTTAACTCACTTGTTTGGAATATGCATACTAAACTGAAAACTGCTCAGGCTTTCACTTTGTTCACACAACGCTTTTTGGTTAGCTGCTTTATATTGCCACACTGTAAGCAAGATACATTCAAATATGTTTAGTCTGACTTTGATACTAACTAATAACATACTAGCTAATATTTGGATGGGTTTCAGAGTCATAAAAACACTTTAATATGTGTTTGGAATTAAGTACGTCCCCTTTACAGATTTAGCAGTATCTCATATACTACTAAAGCTCTCCTAAGAGAATATGTATTTGCCTGAAATGGTGTACACAGCTGAATTGTGCCCTCACAAAGGAATATTCTGATGCAGTTTATGCTGGATGTAGTGTCTGTAATCAACAAATACAAAGATGGAAAAAAAGTACATGAGGAAGTCATAAAGCAGTGTGAGAATGTGCTCAGCATCAGCTTCTATTTGCTTTGAGGTCTTTGGCTGAGCTTCTGAGACAGCGAGTTGGAAATCAATAGTAAATTTATCTCGTTTCTCATTTGTTTCTCTGTAGAACATCCCAGTGTACCTATACTCCCAATCCTTCATGTCTTTCTGAAATGCTCTGCAGCACATTGTGCCCCACACAGCTATAGGAGCTTTGCTGAAGCATGAATTCAAGCTGAGGGTATGGTGTGTGCACACACCACTTGCAGGAAGCCCTTTTGGAGGATGCCTTGTCTGCAGCATTGATCAGGATACAGTGAACAGTAGGACCTGGCAGCATTTGGGTTCCATCCTTTAGTCCCTGACCACATCCAGACAAAAAGCAAACAAACCAACAAAAACAAACGTGCAACTGAGACACACCATGTGTTAGGGCTGGGCAAACAGTAGTTTTTGTGGTCTGCATGGGTGTATGGCTTACCTCATATGACATGAGGAAGAAACACTGTCTGCTTCTCTCAGAGCCCAACAGCCTGCATGCTGTGGGTTATCCTTCCTTTACTGGCTTTTTGTTTTCTATTAAGACAAGCTTGATGTTCTAAGCTGCTGGTTTCTGCAGATGATTTTCAAGTTCTAGATCTAAATGCATCAGTTCAGTGGAAACCAGATCTAAATGCATCAGTTCAGTGGAAACCAGATCTAAACGCATCAGTTCAGTGGAAACTGTTGAATTACAGGAGCTTAGAACCTGGGTGCCTTTTTTTCAGTATTCACTGTGCAGCCTGAGTTAAAGTAAGCTTTTAAATATGAGTCTTTTGCTTGTAAAGTTACACAGATTCAGAAACTATCTTTTGTGATAGGATGGGCAAGCCTCTCTGAAGCCTCTCTGCTTTCCCAGTGGAGAGAGCAAATTTTACCTGTTCTCTGCTGGCCTCTTATCAAGATACTGCAAAACAGTCACTAATTTACAGACCTACTAATTGAGATCCATTAAGATGTTTTTCTCCTCTTCATGTTGATTAAGTTTTGGGTATTGGACATGTAGAGCTAGATTAATCTCATGCTAATGCAGTTTACCAGAGGCCTGTGTGGGGACACATGCGCAAGTGTGCATCAGTCGTGATGGAGCCAGATGCAGGGTCATGCTTACTGAGTACAAAACTGACTCTTCTGAGTCACATGTGGCTATTCTTTTGGTGGTTCATTTTGTGTGTTACCAGCAGTTACCCAGTTTGATGTTCAGAAATGTTTGGAGTTGCCTGACTTTTTTGTTTAGTTTTGCTGCTGAACTGGCAACAGAGTTTGGGTAAACCAAGATCCATTTGAAGCAATCCTTTCCTGTTATTTTGTCAATTCTGGTCTTCATGATTTTGAAAAGCATAAAATGGTTTTTTAGTCTTTCATATTTGACTGTAAACTTCAATTTCCTTTCTTACCATATAAACACTTTTCATCTGAATTACCCTATGTGCTTACTTATAGTCCAACAGAAATGTAATGTAGCGTGACCTAGTATAAACCTGTTTAATTGAGGCTTGCATAAGGAGGTATAATCTAATCTTTGCCTTTAGGTAAGATCAGGCATGTGGACAGTTGATGCAACTCAAGTGACATGTGGTAACTTGTTAAACAATCATGTTAGGTTTTGTTCATGTTATGTGACAGCCAATAGAGTCGTCTCCTTCCCTCCAATGATACCTGCACCAGGGGAAAGGTTTTGGACCGGGAAATGTCACCTCCATAAAGCACTTGTGCTTTTAATTGTTTGATTAATGCTGTGCCCAGAAAGAATCAGGTTAAATTCATTTGGTCTGATCCTGTGTGCAAAGATTTGCCTAAGTTCTTATGCGCTGAACAGGATCACAGGACAAAAATTACTTGCTAATCATTGGATAGGAAATATTTAGCCTATAAGTATAATAATCTAAAGATTCATTAGCTTGTATAAAGTGCTCAGGGCTGTCTGTGCTTGTAAGAACAAGAAAATAGTTGGCTGTTTCAGTGAGGATTTAAACCATGAATGGATAACACAAATAGAGTGTTATCCATCAGCAGATACTGATGAAACTACTCAGATTGTGGATCCCCTACTTGAAGGGTGAAAAATTCTATGCATAAAACTAGCTGAATTCAGTTTATTTGGCAGTTCAAGGAGGAATTTGGAACCAATAATAATCTTTTTGGAAATACATTTCCTGATTGAAACAAACCTGCTTTTCTTGAGTCAGTCTCAATCCATAAAAGAGTGTCCAAATATAAGGATGGTTGTAGATTTGTTTACAGCCTCATCAAGGTTAGGAGGTATCAGAATCGAATAAGGGGGCTTTTTTCCTCTAAAACCCTCAGGCCAAATTGTCTACCCCAGAGGTTCAGGTATCTGAATATACCCACTCCACTGAGTATTATACAAGCCTAAAAAACTTTTCCATCTTCACTGTCAGTGCAGGCACAGATTGCCCAAGGTGGAATTGTCATTCTAAGTCTGGTCTAACTTGTAATTGCTAATGGTTATCAGTAAACAGCACTGATACACATGCTAAATAATAGGGACTTGCTTATTTTATATCTGGAGTCTATTTTCCTGGTGTGTCCTTTGGAGGTTATCTGAAATGACTTGTTCCAAATGAAATCATAAAACCTAAAGAGACACAGAAAGCCTTAAACACTGTGAACTGTGTTCTAGATCCAACTGTGTTCAATGCAGACTATATCAGAAACAGAGGCAGAATTTTGCACGGAGGAAATACTTGAATATTCTGGCTGGCAGGGTTTCAACCTGAGCATTGCTGGGCTCCTTCTCTCAGGGTTGAAAGAAAGAAAATACGCTTAAAAATTCCTCAAAAGCCCAAAGATGAAAGACCTTTTCCTGTAATTCTGGTATCTTAGAAACTGCTGAAGAGAATTCTATGAAATTGGGATGGTTTTTCCTCTTTTCTCATGGCTTTAAGCTTTGGTCCATGTAAAACTGATGCTTTTTCAGGTAAGCCAGCTGGGTGAGCCTAGAAGCGAATAGTTGGGACTTGCCTAATTTCTGTGGACTTTACATTTTCTGTGAAATTTTGAAGTGCAACTCCAATCCTCCAGCCTCGCGTTCTGACATCCAGTCCAGAGCATCTGGAATTACCGTTAGAATCTCAAGCCAACATCCACACATCCTGTATATTGATATAGCTCCATTATTCCAGCAGAATGATATCAATAGCCACCAAGCCAAAATCAGGTCACACCATTCAGTTAGGGTCCCTAGATCCAAGTCAGACAAGTAGATTTGTGCTTTGGAAGACAAGCAGGTTGAGTCTCTGATTATTGTTTTCAGAGCACTAGGACTTGGGACATGTTTAATAGCAACAGCAGCTGTATTTTACCACTACACGCATACTTTCTGTTTGCACATACCTCATACATCAGGCACGTTGCCTGATGGCCAATTCATTCATAAAGAGTGCGTTTTTGAATGCAAAATTCCTGGAATCAAGTACTGCTCAGGGTAATTCTGATTTACTGTTAATCAGACTCTTCTTTAGCTGTAAAACGACTTAATCTGTTTTATCTTGAAGTGTATATTTTATTTTTCTTAAAAAGTTATAAATAGTTTGCCAAATAAACTTTCTGAGAAGATACATAATGCTGTTCAAATCTGTCTTGGGTAATAATTCTTCCTGGTTTCCCTCATTTGTACACATTGCTTATGGCTAAGTTAGTCTTAGCAAAACCCTGCGTAAGGCTCAAATTCTAAGCTGTTGTAATGCCTCAAAGTACAGAAGCTAAACTCTTGAACGGAAAGATTTACAAGTTACTGTCACAGAGTTTCACCACCTAAATGTCACTTACCACTAAATTATTACTTGCAGTTGTCTTTGTGTATATACAGTGAAACTACAAACATTCCAAGGGCTGCTGATGTGCCTTCCCTGTCTGCTTGTGCCCTTCTTCCTTTACACAGACACACAGAAAATGCTTTTCTAATAGAGCGTAACTCATCTGAAAACTTCGGATGTGTTTCTTTCCCAATTACAGCCATAATAGATGCCCAGGAGTCGCTTAAGGATTCAAAAGAAAGTTTCATAAACAGGACAGAGCAACTATATTGGCTATGAGTAAACACACAAACTGTTACATTACAAGAAATAACTGGAAATCACTGTAACCAATGTTTCTTCTTACCTTCTTCAGCAAGTGCTATGAAAGGCACGCTCCCTAGAACGAAGATGAAGAATTGAACTTTGATCATAATAAACATCTTTGATCTGCTTGGAGAATAGTTTTCCAATCCTGAGACCAGATGGATTCAAATTTGGATCAATTTTTTGGAGAATTGAGATCACAAAAAGAAATTGCTGCAAAAAAGACTTTGGTATTCCAAATATTCCTTTAACTGCTGTAGTCTAGAGGGGGAAGGTTTTCCCAGATGATAACTATACAACTAAAGAAAGCTGAGTGGAGTCAGCATTATTTGCGTTAGCCAAGGGGTGGGAGTATGCCTAAGGTGGTCCCCAAAGAAGAGCCAGGCCCGCCCTCTGCACTCTGTTTGGTCAGTACTAAAATGATGATCTCAGCCCAGGTTTAAAGTTACAGGAGCTATTGTGGCTTTCAGAAGACTCTTATTTAGTAAAGAGGGAAGGGGTATTTAGGCAGAGGGAGGTGTTCAGAGAGTTCTCTCCCTTCTGCAAACTGTCCTTAAGAAATATTTAAGGAACAACACTAAGGACATTTTTCCTGTTATTTCCAGCAGGGAACTGATGGTTTTGTTCATTTCAAAGCGAGTCCCCATGTTTATCTGAGCAAGTGTGGTAGTGAATGTGCAGTTAGGGAGACTGAAATAGTTTTAGGACAGGATGTTTAATTCTGCAGTAAATACCGTCTGAATTTTTCTGCATGTTGAGTCTCTCTTGTGTCCTCAGGTGACATCCTAGCTGTCTTCCAGCAGCAATCTCTGCCCACAGGCTTGCTGTGCTTGGTGGCCTTGATGTGCTAATACAGTCCTGCAGAGATAGAGGTTTTTCCCTTTTCTAAGGGAAAACATGTAACTCTTAGTAGTAAAGCTGTACAATGGTCTGTACAAGACTAGGTATTTTCTTGTGTATGTTTCTGCCCATTAGCATCCTATGGCATGAATGCAAGACTAGATGAGCATCCTACCAACATCTGTAACAGATACTACTTCTCACAAGTAATGGTTGTTAGACAGGAACTGAAGCAGGACTTGGGAAGAAATGATTTGTATTAATCCTTTCCTGAATCTTCCCTTGTCTTGGGCAAGTAATAATCTAGTGATCAACATCTATTTAGCAATGTGAGTTTTAATCAGGGTTCACATGTACCAGTGTGCCACATGGCTGAGTGGAGGAAGTATGTGACCTCCCTGGGTTTCTGTACCTCAAAGTCCTATGGTGCCAGGACATGAGGCTCTAAAGCATAGATTTGTTTTCTTTCTGCTGAGAGCCGTGGAGGAGGTCACCTCTGCAGGAGAGTGGGGCACACTTGTGGAAGAGGTTTAAACTTTAAAAAACAACTCTGAAACACGGCTACATTGTTTTGCTCAGTGAATGATGGTTAGAGCTGACCCCACAGTGCTTTATTGTGCTATAAAGGAAAGCAAGTCCAAACATAAGCAGTGATAGTAACGTAAAGAGGGCTGCAGGTGGGAAATGCAACACCTTCTGTAGGGCTTTTCTTTTGAAAGTGATAGGTGCCAAAGGAATTTATTAGCTATAGATCTAAGTTATGGTGCTGTAATTGTACTCTTTGGATTGAAGATGACTAGGAGAGCAGGATTTAAAACAGTCAATGTTAATGCAAAGAAACAACAGGCAGTATTGGCTCATTTCTTTAGAAAATCAGTGAAATATTGCCATCTACTAACTTTCAGCATGTCATAGGTCTTAAAATCTGGGATTATTTATCCCTCAGTAATGCACCTTCAGATTTACATAAAGAATGTTTGCTTATTGGGCAATGCCATCATGTGAAGCTGTGATATGCTGGGGGAATACGTAAATTTTAATGAAACTTACTTTGAAAAATGGAAACAAATCATTTTTACAATATTAGAGCAGAACATCTGGAATTCTGTCTGTATTTTCAGAATCAAAAGTGAATGTAGTACACTATGAAAGATAAGCTGGAGCAAACAGTGATTTCTTGATGTTAACAAGTTAGTAGGAACAAAGAGAACGTATTTTTAGGATTTCATTCAATTTCCTTCAAAGGTGCTCTGAAGACATGTCACGTTTATGATGATTTATAGAAACAAATCTGCCTCAGGTTTAAGAGTAAGCCTTTCTAAAGAAGGATAAGCTCTTTGCTGAATGGAATAATACCTTCCTTTAAACTGTACTGTATTCTGGGTATAGAACTGGAGCTCTTGAGCTTTCAGGAATTGGAGATGTCCAAGTTCCAGTGGCTACTTCAATACTTCTTAATGTTTTTACTATTCTTCCCAGTAAGGAATAAAGGAATAGTTTCTTCTGTAGCAGCTATTTCTGCTGCTGCTCAAAGAAAAACTCTTTAGATAAATTTATTGAGCTATGAAGAACTTAATAAAATCAGCTTCTATCACGGTATCAAAGTGCTACAAAGGGAAAGGAATTTGCCTACAGTTGTAAACCAAATCAGTGAAAAAGCTAGGAGTATCTTATTAATTGTCATCTTACTAACTGTTCTTAAGGAACAATGCAATTGTTGTTAGTGCTGAACTAATTGTTCCTTGGGGACAACGGTGATACAAACTTGCCTTCTAGTGGGGACAGCATATTGCTGAGCAAGGAGATTAAGGCTGGGAGCCGTTGCTGAGCCCTCTGATTTAAACCATCAACTAAATTCTTTCAGAAGAGCCAGCATACCCTGGGAGAGAATATGGAGCCAGGGAGAGAGAAAGGAGCAGTTTTCCTCTGAACTGTAACAAATCAAGGGGTTTTAATGAAACTTCAGTTTAACCATACTGTAGTTCTGTTAAGCCAATAGGGTTTGGGAAAATGAAGGACTTATTCTAAGTTCTGATTTAACAATCCATCTATGTTTAAAGGAGCACTGAACTATGTGCTCTGCTTTCTTCAAAACTGAAGTTAAGCACTTACTCTATGTGAGTGTATGTCTCTGGGAGTGGACTTGCACAAGTGCTCCGACGCTGCAGTGAACTGAGAGGTTTAGGTCTGTGAAAAGACGTCATAATTTGGTCTTTTTTGTTCTGGGTGTGTTCTGACAATTCCCACAAATTGCCAGGATATGAGTACATGGGCGCCCTTTTTTTTTTTTTCCCCTCAATTTTCTGGCCAGGCAGCTCTGTGTGTTTTTAATCACAGTGGTTTAAGGGAGGAGGTGAAAAAGGTCTAGAGTACAAGCAGCCCTCGTGTTTTCATTTCATTATCTGTTCTTTCTGCCTGACTGTATCAGTCATTTACGCAGCCTTGAGAGGCTTAGGCTGTCTCTAGTTCAGAAGAACAAAGAACGAAACAGAGCTGGGGGAGTGGAAAAGTATCCTGCAAAGTGTTATGCCTCGGTGGCAGAAGTGTGGGATGATGTTTTGCCCTGAATCAGTGTTTCAATATGAACCCAGGAGTGCTGAAGTCAATAGAAGTCTCCCTGTTGTCGTAAATGAGCTTTTAAAGAGCAGCTCTGGTATGAGTGAGGACAGCTTTGCTCTGATCCTGTGTAGCTCTGCGCATGCGGGGGGTGAATGTAGGCAGCTCAATTTCTGTGGCTGTAGGACTGATTAAGGTTGCTTTGTGTTAGCATTGGTCTATCTGCCTACATACACCCTTCTGAAAGTGCAGTGCTTTATGATGATCTCTTCCCTGATGTTGTTTGGCTTTATAATTGGCAATGGTTTGGCAGTTTATCCTGGAGTTGATTGCATTTTGCTGCTTATGGAAATAATCTGTATGTGTACATTTAATTCATCTGCACTAAAAATCTAGCTCCAGATTTCCTTTCCCTGAAAGCAAACACTGTGATCCAGAAAGTAAGGAATGCTCCATAGGGCAGAGTGTGGCAATGAGCTCAGGGGAACATGCTGACTCAGCTCCTGGTGTTAATGGGCTGGAGAGAAGAAGGGATGGTTGTAACAGAGCTCCAGATGTTGCATGAAGCTGTTAATTGTACTTAACCTTAGATGACAACAAAATTATTACTATTTTCCTGAGATACTTCAGGTATAATTCACCTTTTCACTACAGCTATCTCAAACCCACAAGGAAATATATAGAGAGAGAGGTCTAAACTACTTAGGGCTGCACTAACAGAATTGATATTTGATTTTTCTTGTGTTTGACTGTTTTAGAAACCCTTTGAGCACACCTGAGGCTTCTAGGATGGTAGTTCAGGAGTGCCAAGCATGCAGAGCGCCTGTAAAATGACTGTGCCTGGGCATGCCTGTCCCTTCTGCAAGCCCAGGCTTTAGTGTCTCAAACTGGACAGGCGGTTTCTGCAGGTTTGGGTTACATATCACAAGAAGCTGCCTAAACATCATTTAAGAAAGATGCAACGTATGGACAGAGTTTGCTTTCTATTTCCACCTCCAGAAGAATTTAGTTTGTGGATACTCTTTGCTTCTAATTTAATGTTTTCAAAGAATAAATCTATTATGGAAAGGATTCAGAAATGGAGGTGGGCAATTCTGTACAGCATGATTTGCTGAAAGGTTACCTCACAGTAAAGCTAAGTTGAAAAATTGTGGCTATCATTCTGGGTCTCCTCCTCTTTGAAGTCATAGAACATATTCTAAAACTGAATTGGGTATTTTTTGTATTTCATTACCTACCAAAAGGGTTTGACTGCAAAGGGAAAACAGGAAATGACTTGAAAATTAATAAAGCTTGCAGAAAACAGTTTCTGTGCTTCTGACCAAATATTGCAGGGCCCTCAGCTGCCCCTGGGGTACAGAAGCAGGAAATCTGGCAACAGAAAGAGATGGTATCTTTTCAGTTCCAGAGCAGATTTGCAAAGGATATAATGAAATTGAATGCTTGATTTCCATTTTTTGAGTGTAATTCTAGTGAAAGAATAGGAAATACTGGTTTACTGTGTATGTGCTGGTGGTACAGTAAACTTCTACTGGTCACAGTTCTGTGGAAAGAGAAATTCTGGCAGCACATGAGCTGCATATTCATGGGAAATAGCATTAGCCAGGCACAAGCCAGGACATTGAAACCTGTCACCAGTGTCCAATCTCTGACAACTTGTGAGACTTTGGGACAGCAGAGGGGTAATTTGGATATTCCTCTTTCAAGACATGAGACATTT